AACAAAGGAATGACGAACAAAAAAGCAAAAACACCTGCTGCTACTGCTGCTGCTGCTGCTGCTGCTGCAGCTGCAGATTGGATGCCGCTGCGGCTGCTGGTTTACTGCTGCTGCTGCTGATGCTTTTCCTGCAGATTTAAATGCAGGAAAATCAATTAGAAGAATTACACGAAATACCTTCCGCTGAATGGCCCCTGGGAAACAAGAGATGTTGAAGTGTATATACACCGCAGCGCATGCAGGCGGCAGCAGCAGCTGCAGCAGAAGCAGCAGCGGCTCCTTGCTGCTATAGAATAGGGAGTATCTACAAACGAAATACGATTTAATTATAGAGAAAAGGCAAATTAAGAAGTAAGAAGTCCGGTAGCTCTTATAAACTATAACCCTTTGTTCTGCTGCTGCTGCTGCTGCTGCTGTTGCATGCAGCCCCTCCGCGCCAAGCTTCCTATACACCCGAGTAAATAAGCAAATAAACATTTGATTTCCCCTCATTTATTTTTATTTGTTTGTTTAGAAACAATTGTATGCGGAGAGAACATATGGCGGCCCTCAACTTTATTTTATTTGTACATCTCCCTCCGTTAGTCTGTCTGTGTTTGTCTGTCAAAGTCTTTTCTTCTTTTTAGCGTCTCTCTGCCTCTAATGACTCTGCTGCAACTCCCGCTTAGCCAAAGGAACGAGGTAGCTAGCTCCAGGTATCAGCTAGCTAGCCACAGCTAGCTATGACTACCCATACCCAGCCCTAGCTAAACATAGCTAACTAGCTAGCCATAGCTAACTCGCTAGCTAGCTACAGTTATCTGTAGCTAGCCATGCCATAGCTACTGGCAGCCAGCCATGAGTGTGGCTAGCTAGCCACAGGTATAGGCAGCTAGCCATAGATCTCGCCACTGAGTCTTAACTATCGCTACCTAGCCATAGATGCAGCTAGCTAGCTGTAGATATCGATAGCTAGCTGGGGACAGATAGCTAAGGACGTCCATAGTAAACTGCAGCAATGGATAGCCAGCCGTCACTACCGCTAGCTAGCTTTATCTATAGCTAGCTAGACGTAGCCATCCCCCGCTAGCTGTATCTATGACTGGCTAGCCGTATCAATGGCTAGCTAGCCATAGATCTCACTACGCCTAGCTAGCTATGCCTACGGTCAGTTTGCCGTATCTATCGCTAGCTAGGCGTACCTACCGCTAGCTAGCTCTAGCTATGGCTAGCTAGCTCTAGCTATGTCTAGATAGCTCTAGCTATATCTAGCTAGCTAGCTAGCGGTAGCTAGAGCTGGCTAGCCATA